GCCGCCTCGCCCGCGCCCTAGCGCCACCGCCGCCGCCGAATCCGCCGCATCCCGTCGTCCCCGCGTGCAATCAATAGGGGGATTTATTCCCCGTGATTCCCTCTCCCTTTCCCCCCATTTTTCCCTCTCTCTCTATCGAGTTCAAACGGGCGGACTTGCCCCCGCAAATCTCGCCGGCGCCATTGATGGCGGCCGACCTCCCGCGCCGGTTTCCTTCCTTCCCCGGCCGCCCTCTCTCGCCCCGGCTCTATTTAAACCCTCCCCGTACCTCCTCCGTCCGTTTCCGCCTCTCGCCGCCCTTCCTCCTCGCCGGAATCGAGCTCCCGCCGTCGCTCTCTCTCTCCGCCGTCGCCGCCGAGCTCCGGTCCGCCGCCGTCGTCGCCCCGGACCACCTCCCACCTCAGCGCCGCCTCCTTCGGCTTCGCCGCATCCTCGCCGACCTCGTCCACCCCTTCGTTTCGCTCACCGACCGCCGGAACGCCGTCGACCCCGTCGACCCGAGCCGCGCCGCCGCCTTCCTCCGCTCCCGCCGCCTTTTTCGTCGTCGCCGTCGACCTAGGGTGAGCCGTGGACCGCCGCCTCTTTTCCCCCTTCCCTTCCCCTCTCTCGGCCGCCGCTCCGCCGTGCCTATGGCCGCCGCCGGCGACCATAGGGGCGCGGGCGCCGCCTCCCGCCTGCTGCGCCGGCTTGGCCGCCCTCGGGCGCGCCGAGTGGCTGCCGCGTGGGGCCCGGCCGTCAGCCGCCCGCGCCCTCGGTTGCGGCTGACGCGTGGGGCCCACGGCGCCGGCCGGTGTGAGCCCGGGTGCACCCGGTCCACCGTGGACCGTGAGGCTACCGCGTGGGCCCCACTCCCGTGGACCCGGTCCGCGCGTCCCCTCCCCTCGGCTGACGCAATAAACCCTTTTAAAATTAAAATTTAAATGAAGAAATTCGCAAATATTCATTTAAAGAGCATATAAACTTCAAATGGCCATAACTTGGCCATTTGAACTCGGAATTGGACCATTCAAGTCTCTAATTTTTCCTGAAGAAGTCAAGAACCCATTTTTGTGCTTTGTTCCTGCTTGTTATATGGAGTTTATTAGAGTAAAATCCTTTTCTTTTCCGTTGGTCGTGTAAACGCTGCAGCTTCGGAAGATCCGCTCTTCGTGGAGGTTGAAGCCGACGTTTGGGAAAGCGAGCAAGGCAAGTCACATCATCCTTGAACATATTGAATCCCAGTTTATAAAATTATTTTGATTTAAATTATTGCATTACCGCTTTATTTAAATTCCCGCGTTATCACTGTTTTATCTAGCCATGCCTATTTACCTTTGTTATGACCTTATTATTGTTATTGTTATTATTTCCTTGTTCACCCTAGAATAAACAAAACCCCAACTAGTGGACACTCTACTCATGGTACCACTAGTATGATTTTAGGTAGATGCTTCGCTGATTAATTAGGCAACATTAGGTGGTTTTATAACTCTAGACTTTGGGAATATTCTCATCACCTGGACACTATGGAATGGTTGGATTATTGTGGAATTGGATTTGCACCTCCCCCTCTATTCAAAACCCTCAAAATGGTTTTAGGCTAGGCTCGGGTGCATGGTTTTGATAGTAGCACCTCGGCCATATAAGGACCGGTCTTCGGGCCTCTGTTGCAAAGCACTACCGTACTTCTACATGTCTAGTGGGTAAGGCTTAGTTTGTGGCTCAGTCTGGTTATAAACAAAAGTACACGGATGGAGATGGACGAAGTCGGGGGTCGATGGACATCTCTAGGACAAATGAAGGCTACACGAGCTGCGGCCCGGTAGTCGAGATGTCATGGCACAGGGCCGGTGTCCTGCTGCTAGAGGCTCAGTCCTGCCTACCTGTCCCGGGGGTTCCGGCCGTAGGTGGGGTTGGGTCGGTACTCTTGTCTATGGCTAGGATGGGTTGGAAACTATGTCACGTCTTCTGTCCGTATACCGTGGTGGTATGTGGCACATGGTTACACGTGAGGAAGATGTGTCTTGTGGGTAAAGATGTACACCTCTGATCAGAGTATAATCTATTCGAATAGCCGCGCCCTTGGTTATGGGCAAGCCGAGCAATGTACCCAAGTTAGTGTTTTAATTCTTAAAACCTGCTTAACAACTAAAATGTGGAATGGTTGGCCTGGGTTGGCTTGGGACGAGCTGGGACCCAGGGTCGGGTTGCCAGTTCGGTCTGAATCATCGTAGGCCTTGGGTTAAGGCAGGTTCGTGTGGGTTCACGGCCTTGATTAATAATATTGCATAGCTCTAGAATCGTGTTTACAAAATAGCTTTGAGCAACTAAGTGTCTTTTAATGCTGTTTACTGCAAACCCCCTTGTACTCCCTTGCATTTATTCTGCACTTGTGGGTGTGTCTTGTTGAGTACGGTGGTTGTACTCAGTCTTGCTCAATTTTTCCCAAACCCAGAAGTGGAGTTCCTAGAAGATGAAGGCTTTGGTGTCTAGCTCGTGCCTGCCGTCAAGCGCCTGTGGTCGTCGCCCTAGTCTTCCCCTCTTTCCCGTTTGTCTTTGTGTGTGCTGGGCCTTCGCCGCCCATGTAATAAATTAACTATTTACGCTTCCGCTTGATAAACTCTGAAATGTATCAACTTTTGGTGTACCTTGCCTCCTGGGACAAGGAATAATACATGCACGTAAGGAACGCCCGTTGGGTTAATTCCGGTCGTGACACAAACCCTGTGGCAGCAGGCTGAGAGGATTGGCTAGAGGTGTCAGGTGGCTGAGTAGGTTTTGGAGGCAGATACAACTGCTCATCATTAACACCAACATATTCTTCCTAATTATCAAACATGTCAGGCTCTCTAACATCTGCTTCCACTGTTGTAGGCTGTGCAGAACCATCATTAGTAGCAGCTTGTCTAGAACCATCATTGTGGGAAGGGTTCTCAGGTGGGATGATAGCAATGGGCTCATGCACACAACACACAGAAGCAACATCCATGCTTTCCTCAAGAACTGCTACAAGTAAGTGGAAACTGGCCTCGGTTGCATACATCTCGAAAATATCTGGCAAATCAGTGTCCCCTATGAGCCTAACATCCTCACCCAAATTTTTGTTAAAATACCACACTGAGGGAGACTGGTTCGAGCCCCACTTAAACTCAACCCTCAAACTTTCCATTAGGAAATCAAACGAAAAACTCTCTGAATCGATTACCCAATGCCCAGTGCCTCCTTTACTGATGATTTTCCTACCATCAGCATCTACTGTCGCATAGGGTTGCACCCTAACATCGACTGAAAACCAATGCCTACCAACGAATGACAAAACAATAACTCAAATCGCACATACAAAGTTCAAATCGAAACTCAAATCGTAATTTTATCTGCATAAAGAGTTCATGGGGGAAGGTACTCACGGTTTGGAAGCAACCCGTACAAGGGATTCGCCCAAATACATTGCCAACGCGGTGGGGGATGCAGGCGTAGGCCCCTGCGCACTCATCCTCCCATCGGTGGAGGTCCTCCCCTTCGGCCGTCGTAGCCTCCGCCGCCGCCCTGCTCCGCTGCCGCCCTGCTCCGCCGCCGCCTTCGCCTGCGCCACCGCCCTGCTCCGGCACCGAAGCCTGCTCCGCCGCCGTCGATTGCGCCGGCGCCGTCGCCTGCGCCGCCTCCAAGAAGCTAGGGTTTCGGTGTGGGGAACGAATGGCGACCGGGTTGTTCGAGCCGGACCGGAGCTGGTCTAAGCACACGTGAACACGAGGGCAGAAACGTCCATACGAAAATACGGTACCCTAAAACGGTGGCAAAGCGCGCGCAGGGCGTACATTATGGCATGGTTCCAATTTGACGAAACAGTTGTGGCCTGCACCCGGATTCCGGAATAGGTGTAGCATTTTTTTTTTTGATTTGCCACAATTCGCGTGGCATGGATCCAATTAACCCTTCTCTATATATACATATCGATGATGAATTGAAAAAGAGACCAGATCCCAATCCTTGCAAGTTCTTCAGGTAATCACGTGAGTGCGCGACCACACTACATGAGTACACTCCTTGACTCGTCCGTTTGTTTCCCATGTGCGGGTGCCTGTCAGGCCTTGCCGTCTTGGAGTAAAGTAAGGTGATGGAAATACTCCCTCGTCTCAAATAGAATAATTTCCCTTTTTTAATGATTATTAAGGAGATAGCAAAAGTACAAGTGATGAAAAATGATGATAGGAGATAAAATAATGTATTACTCCTTTCATCCGAATAAACAAACCTAATACAGGGGTGTGATATGTTTGTTTATTTTAGAACGAATGGGAATAATAGATGATAGGTGAGGATTAAGTAAAGTAAAAATAGGTAGGTGGAGGAATAAACTATAAAAGAGTGGATAAGCGAGATATAAGGCTGGCTCAAATTATTACCAAAATAAACATTTCTAGAATTTTGGTAATGCCAAAGTTTTGGTGAGTTGGTAATATTATCAAATTTTAATAGGATAGGATAGATGTATTGTTACCAAAATTATCTAGGCATTACCAATGTTTGGGAATAAATTAAATGTATCCACGTATTTCTCAATTTTACCAAAAAGATTTAAAATAACATCAACCTAATAGACTCATAAAGTATACTCCCTCCGTCCCATATTAAACGTAGTTATGAGTTTCCTTGTCTAACTTTAATCATCTGTCTTATTTAAAAAATTTTATGATTAGTATTTTTATTATTATCAGATGATAAAACATTAAAAGTACTATTTTTCAAAAAAAATAAAATAAGACGTACAATTAAAATTTGACAACTCATGTTTGCGCTTGAAATGGGAGGGAGGGGTGGGTACATGGGCAATAAATGATCATCTTCAGATTATAAAATCATCTATAATTTAGGATAAATTTAAAGGACTAGCTAGTCAGCTAGACCAGTCAAATCTGTGAATGGGAAAAAAAACTGTCAAATTTGAAGGACGGCTAGCCCAACTAGCACCTGGCCAGGGCAGGGCGCACGCTTCTCTTTAAATCGGCGTATCGCCTCGCCCAAATCACCCCCCCCCCCCCCCCCCCCACAGTAGGACTACGCTTCTCGCTTAGCGACGCAACAGCAAAGCAGCGCGCGGAGAGAGAGACCGATCGAGCCACACCGCCGCGCGCCATGGCGAGCGAGAGCGAGAGCAACGGCCACCACCACGCCGGCGACGAGGCGCGCGCGGAGAACAGCGGCGCGGGGTGCCTCCACGGCGGCGACGACGGCGGCGGGACGCCCAGGACGACGCCGGAGATCAGGTACACCAAGCTGTTCATCAACGGGCGCTTCGTCGACGCGGCCTCCGGTACGTACGTACGTGTGTGTTAGCCGCGCGCTAGCTAGCCGTGGGCTGTGGTTATCTAGCTACGTCCAGCCCACCTGCGTTAATTACTGGAGGACTTAATTGTACTCTACCAAAACCTAGTAATGGGATCCAATTCATAATCGCCGTGGTTGTCCTATTGCTCTCTTCGATTTATTTCCTTTCTTCCAAATACTAGTAGGGATTCAATTCCTTATCGCAATCAGTGCTGTTTCTTAGAGCAAGTACAATAGCAAACTATTAGTGAGCTATAAATATATTTTAATGAGATAAAAGATAACAGAGAAGAGCAGCGGACTACAGATCTGTAGCCAGCTGCAGCACGGACTCCAAGACACAGTATGTGTATGACATGTGGGACCAAATATTTATAGTATCGTAAGCAACTATTGTATGAATTGACTGTTAGATTGACTATATATAGATGAATTGGAGCTAGCAGTGGGCTGTACTATTAAACTTGCTCTTAATGATTCTCTCCATAATTAATTAGTACCAGCCAGTTTAGATTAATTCTTAGGCCACTCCCACTAAAAAATCCATTCTCATTAAATATGAAAAAAATAATATGAAAAAGATGAAATGGGTTTTATCTATATGAAACCATATACATACACTGTTCTCAATATGATTGGTCTCTGTATGTGTTGCCTATGAAAAAAACAATTCACTATATTGCTATATTTCATAAGCCATACTCCCTCATTCTGAAAACTATTGGATATGGTATTTACAAGTACAACGAATTTGGATAGTCTTCTGTTCAGATTCACTGTGCTTGAAAATATCACCTCTCATACTGGTGGGTTTTTATGGGACGAAGGGAGCAAACCATATACATCATTTTTAATATATTTGTTTCTGCATGTGTTGCCTATAAAAATAGTTTTTTTAAAAAAGAAAGTTTAGTACTATATTGCTAATTTTTATAACCGAGAAAGTAAATTTTGAAGAGTTACCGTAAACTTGTGGTGCTCCTAGCATCGTACGGTTTGATGGCGAGATGAGATCATGGGCAGTTCGCCAAGGAGTAACACGACAAAGAAGCATGAACGGGCCTGCAGTTTCAGTCTCTACCAACCTCTGGCATCTATTTTTCCCATCGTCCCGTGTTATACCATGTGCTTCGCGTCCCCGGCTAGTTGCTGTTTTCATCTCACATCTTTTTTTTGCTCAATGATTAGCTAGTACTCCGTACTAATAGTACTAAGTAGTAAAGAACTATTCAAATCAAATCATTAGGGCATTCCCAACCCAATGACTAGGATAGTGTTCATAGCATTAAATAAGTTGTCACCTAGGACAAAAAATGATGTGGCAAGTGAATAAATGAGGAAAGAGAAGAAAACCATGTCTTGTATGAGACATAGTTTCTACACAACATCTAAGACATCATGTGAGATAAATAGCATTAAATTAAAGTATGGAATAGTGGTGTTTGCATTGGAAGAGTAGTGTCTAGCACTAGTTTCTTGATGATGTGGAGTTTATGGAAACCATGTCTAGTGTTATGGATTGGGACTGCCCATATGTGGCTCTAGCAGTAGCACGTTTCAGATTTGGAACATTTCTGAATTTTCAGAAGAAGATAAATGCTTCCGTACTAGAGATCCTATTTTCTTGTGTACTTTTATACACGTTTCGTGCTCTGAAGAAAAATCAAATTCGGGGTTTGCCTCATTAAGGTGAAGTTAGTGCACAGAAAATCAAGAAGTCATTAGAATATAATTAATTAAATTTAGTTATTATAAATTTAAAAAATATATTTATTTGATATTTGTAGAGTAAATTTTATATAGAAAGTTTTTTAATGAAATGTAAAAGCATGCTAACAAAATCCAAGACAATATTTCAATTGACTTTAACATATCTAAGATAATATTTTACAAAGTAGCGAAGAGTTAAACCGAAAACCTTAATAAAAAAATCAACAACTAAAAATTCCACATATATTCTACATTTTACAATTTTAAGTAAATATTTACTAAATATATATAGAGGTGGTGTTTTGAAAAACTTTAAAACAATAGTAGTTCGGTTATGTGTCACCTCTGGAAGCGTATAGAAGCATTGCGATTTCCAAATTATTTTCTTTGTGAATAGAAAAAAAACCATTGTATCGTTGGGTCGTAAGTTTGCTCAGAATAATTCAGAACAAAACATCTACCGTGTTGAAGCCTATAGCCCTATGCCCCTATGGAGTTCCATGAAAGTATGATTCTTATCATCAGAAACTTTTTGTACGATGGGTCAAATTCTATAGCAGTCCAATCTAAAATTAAAGACTTCTTGCTCTTGATGAGAGTCATAAACTAAAACTAACTCTCTTCATCAAGGTTATGATACCTAGGATTTTATATAACTTTAACCATGAAATGTGAGGTTTACTGAAATTTTCACTTAATTTTATCTTTACATAATCTCATCCTGATCATGGAAGGTCGCCGTGCTCCGTGCTTCTTCTCCAGGTAAGACGTTCGAGACCAGGGACCCCCGCACCGGCGACGTGATCGCCCGCGTCGCCGAAGGCGACAAGGAGGACGTCGACCTGGCGGTGAAGGCGGCGAGGGAAGCATTCGACCACGGCGAATGGCCTCGCATGTCGGGATCAGTACGGTCATCTTCTTCTTCCTCTCAATCGTGCAAAAAATGGCTGGAAAGTGACCGATCAATGGCGCATTTGTCAAATGCAGGAGAGAGGGAGGGTCATGGCGAAGTACGCGGAGGTGGTGGAGCGGCACGCGGATGAGCTGGCGGCACTGGAGAGCCTTGACGCCGGCAAGCCGCTCGCCGCCGCCAGGGCGGTGGACGTCGGCGAGTGCGTCGGCATCCTGCGCTACTTCGCCGGCGCCGCCGACAAGATCCACGGCGAGACGCTCAAGATGTCGAGGCAGCTCCAGGGTTACACCCTCCGCGAGCCCCTCGGCGTCGCCGGCCTCATCGTCCCCTGGAACTTCCCGGCCATCATGTTCTTCTCCAAAGTCTCACCGGCGCTCGCCGCCGGCTGCACCGTCGTCGTCAAGCCCGCCGAGCAGACGCCCCTCAGCGCCCTGTTCCTCGCCCACCTATCAAAGCAAGTAAGAATTTTTTTTAAAAAAAAAATAAGCAAGTAAGATTAGTCACACAAACGAGAAATGTGATTAACATTAACTAATTATTAATTATAGAAAATTGACAAATAAATTTATTTATTTTTTTAAAGTACCTTTTATATAGAAAATTTTCATACAAAACATAACATTTGATAGTTTGGAAAACGTGCTAATGAAAATCAAGAAAGTAGCTAATCCAATCTTCAATTTAGAACAGGACGCAAAATTGAAAAAAGAAAAACGATATAGTAGTAGCTCTGTTCTTGCATCAGGCATTTTGTGCTGTGTGATTGCTGGTAGTCTAAAACTCTGAATATCTCTGACCTTTTCGGAATGTGATATTCAGGCAGGAGTACCGGATGGGGTGATCAACGTGGTGACAGGATTCGGCCCAACAGCGGGAGCTGCAATTTCATCTCACATGGATGTTGACGTGGTAAGATATCATACATTCAGCTGTCAATTAGCACATGAACATTGATCGGTTTCTTACAACTTTTTTTTTTTTTGCAGGTGGCTTTCACGGGATCTACTGAGGTTGGACGGCTTATAATGGAGGCCTCCGCGAAGAGCAACCTGAAGCCGGTGGCACTCGAGCTCGGCGGCAAGTCGCCGTTCATCGTCTTCGACGACGCCGACCTGGACAAGGCCGTCGAGCTCGCCATCGGCGGGAACTTCTTCAACAAGGTGAGCATCCGAATTGGCAGAGCGCCATGCATTGCCGTGATCTTGATTGAATTGACTGATGAGAGCCATAGCCGTGATCTGATCAATCTGCAGGGAGAAGCCTGCGTCGCCGGGAGCCGCGTGTTCGTGCAGGAGGGCATCTACGACCGGTTCGAGCAGAAGCTAGCGGACACCATGAAGAGCTGGGTCGTCGGCGACCCCTTCGATCCTCGCGTCAATCAAGGACCACAGGTGAGTGAGTCTGAAATTAAATTCCGAAAAATCTGAATCATCATCCATCCAACGAGCATTTTTTTTCTTGTGAGTTCCAATAATTCAGTGATGATTCAGGCCTGATTAACTATCTGAACCAGAGACTGATCACCGTACTGTGTTGCCCTGCTACTATGTTCATACAGGTGGACAAGGCTCAGTATGAGAGGGTGCTCGGGTACATCGAGCAAGGCAAGGCAGAAGGGGCAACTGTTCTCACGGGAGGGAAGCCCTGCGGTAAGAAAGGGTACTACATCGAGCCCACCATTTTCACCAATGTGAAGGTAAAGATAAAAAATAAATTAACCTTTAGAATTTACCACGAACACACCATGTGTCTTCACAGTCTTATCTCTGATGATTCGCTTGCGATTCTGAACGACAGGACGACATGGTCATCGCGAGGGAGGAGATCTTCGGCCCCGTCATGTGCCTGATGAAGTTCAAGTAAACCCAGCTATATATATGGATCGCCATCCTCTCTAGTCAAATACACGGTACCTTTATCACTAACTTGTGGATCCAGGGATCATCGGATCCACATGTAAGTGACAAAGTTACGTGATTTCGATCGCAGAGGATCTGACCATGATATGTCATATCAATTCAAAATGTTTATTATCTAAGAAACTACTATAGTGGTAAGAGAGATTAATTTTGGGTGCAGGACGGTGGAGGAGGCGATCGAGAGGGCGAACGGGACGAGGTACGGGCTGGCGGCGGGGCTGGTGACGAGGGACATCGACGTGGCGAACCGGATGGCGAGGTCGATCCGGGCAGGGGTGGTGTGGGTGAACTGCTACTTCGCCATGGACAGGAGCTGCCCGTTCGGTGGCCGCAAGATGAGCGGGTTCGGCAAGGACGACAGCATGCACGCGCTCGACAAGTTCCTCGCCGTCAAGTCCGTCGTCACCCCCGTCCATGGCTCCCCCTGGTTCTGAGTTCTTTCTGGATCTCGTCGCCGATCGAGTCGGCCATGCGTATGTACACATGTTGGTGTTGTTGGATTTGCTGGGTGGTGGAGTATTTGTAACGGTGGAAGATTATTACAGAGAGTCAATAAGTTGCATTATCCATTATTTTCCTTGTATATGCCAGTTGGTGTTCTCCTCCTTTTTATACTACCTTTGGAAGCCAAAATTCTCCTTTTTACCTTGGAAGTCAAAACTTGCCATACCAAAATATTTGCATTTTAAGCATTAATTTTTGGCAACGCTTAGTTTACTACTACCAATACTTCCAATACCGCACAAATAATACACAAATATTATTTAGCATAATTTAGCATAGTCATATTTTGTCAATGTAGCAAACCAAACATATTTTTCTGCGTACCAAAAAGAAAAAAAAAACATAACTAGTCCATAATTTGGCAGAATTAAGTGACAAGGCCTATTGCGAGAGCAGCGATCCACCAGTGGCTGTAATCAACATACTTTAAGGCTCTGTTCGAAAGTGAGGGATGAAAACCTCACTTCCTAGCATGCAAAACAAAACAACATTTAGGTATTATTAATTAAATATTTTAAAATAAATTTAAAAAATCGATTGATTAATATGATTTTTAAAATAATTTTTATATAGAATTTTTTTAAAAAAATTATATCGTTTAGCAGTTTAAAAACGAGAGATGTTGGTTGGAAAAGTGAAGATAAAAACTCAGCCGTGAAGCCTGTTACAAATATGTAAGCCGAAAAATGCTCTTCTGGAGTTCATCCGTTTCAAGCCGAGAAAAATGAACGAATAAACATTGGTTAATTGAACCCACCGAGTTAGTGACTCGATCAATTTTACGGACCGCCAAAGCTCCGGACAGGTAGCAGCAACCTGAGCTGTCGATGAGACATGAACAGGGAACAAGCTAGGCACCGCACAACACACAAGAAGCAGAGCACAACGATTCGGCCGGTAAATTTAATTTCTATTAGAAATTACTTCACATACGCCTAGTTAGCATCATGGATTCATGGTTTCCCCAAACCAAGCCAAGAACACAAACGAACTGTACATTCACAACGCGGATCAACGCCTATAACTAGGAACTTAGGGAGGCCCGGAGTTGCGAACTTGCGATTCCCAGGAAGAATCACTTGGATCAATCAATGAAATATGAGCAGAGAACAAAGCTAGTCACAACTAGAAGCAGAGCACAACGACGATTGAACACAACCGGATCGAAAAGCGCTTCAACTAAACTATGTGTTCACAAATCCAACGGAAATTCAATTTCTAGCCATCATCACTTCACATGCGTCTGAGCCAGTTAGCATATCATAGTTTCCCCCCAAAATTAAGCCAAGAACACAAACAAACTGCACATTCACAAACGGATCAACGCCTAACTAGGAGGGATCGGAGGTGCGATTCCGGCCACGAAGGATTCACTTGGCGCCGGCGGGCGCGGCCGGCGCGCCGACCGCCTTGCCGCGGAGCTTGACCTCGAGCGCGCGCTCCATCTTGGCGAGCACGGCCTGGACGGGGACGGCCTTGCCGCTCTCGTACTCCTGCACCACCTGCGCCCGCTCGTTGATGCGCTTGGCGAGCTCCGCCTGGCTCCACCCCTTCGCCACCCGGGCCTTCTGGATCGCGCCGCGCACCTCCGCGCCCACGCGCCCCAGCCCCGCCGGCTCCGTCGACTCGTCCAGCTTCCGCGCGGGCGCCGCCGCCCCCGCCGCCGCCTTGTTCGTGCCCGCTGCCGCCTTCCGCACCGTCTCCACCGGCGCCCCCGTCCGCATCGCCTGGTTCACCGCCCTCGTCGACTTAAGGTCCGCCGCCTTCGGCTTCGTCCGCCGCAGCACCACCGGCTCCCAGTCCTGCGTGATGTTGCCGCTCAACCTCCCCGTCGGCATTGCTCTCTCCCCTCTCCTCCCTCTCTTCCACGCTCTTCTTGTGTATGTGATTTTGACGATGAGGAGGTCGGAGAAGGTGGAGGGATTTATAGAAAGGTGGGATTCGGGAAGGTTCAAGAGGCTATAGGGTGTTCTGGAAGGTTCCGGGAGGGGTGGTTCCGTTGTTTTTGGGCCGTTGATTTGAGTTGTATGGGGGAATCGGGTGGCTGAGGATGGGCTCACGGGAACTTGGTTGCCACGGAAAGGATACTGGGTTCAAACAAACTGTTGGCGACCGGCCCACCAAGCCCAGGAAACTTGGCGGTTACTCCTCTACTCCCTCCGTCCTTTAAAAAACGAACCTATCACCGAATGTGACATATTCTAATATAATAAATCTGAACATATGTATATTTAGATTCGTAATACTAGGATGTGTCATATCTGATACTAGATTAGTTTTTTATGGGACGGAGGAAGTAGTGCTTTGCGATTCGTGCTCCCCCACCAAGAGATGCTTCATCAGGAAGGTTTGGAAATTCCGTGAATGAACCGCAGAAAGTTTATAGCCTGCATCAGCATATGGTCACTGGGCACAAATCAGGTTGGTTCGCTTTATAGTCAATCAGTGGCGGACGTGGAAATAAAAACAAGATAGAAGTCTAGAGGGATGAAAACAGATCAGATTCGGATGGATAGTTGTCATACGATATTCTATACTATATTTTCTAAGTGGATTCGAAGCCAGTGCGGATGCGGACGGATTATTTCTGATTCGTATCCTAAACCACAATACCGGATATCTCGACCACCAACTATTAAAACCGGTACAATTTGACTCTCTTTACGGTTTTAAAGGGCGGTTTCGATGACGTGGCGTCTACGTGGCGGTTTTGACATGGTCTTTGTTCCGCGTGGCATTAGAATTTTAAAATGGAAAAACTATGAATTACACCACTGAACAATAACGGTCGTCCGAATTACCCCCCGAACCACAAAACCGGACATTCTTCACCCCTAACTATACAAACCGGACGAATTACCCCCCTCGAACCAATTCAGAGTGGTTTTGTCCAACGTGACGCACACGTAGCAATCCAGTCAACGTTTTGGTAATAAAAAAATTATGGGACCCGCCTGCCATACTCTTCTTTCTCTCTCTCTCTATTCTCTCTCTCGCTCGCTCTTTTCTCTCGTGGCTCGCGCAGCGCGCACGGCGAGGACGGCGCGGGGACGGGTGGTCGGCATGGGCGGTCGGCGACGGCGGAGGCAGCAAGCGCGGCGGCGAGGCGAGGTGGCAGCGGAGGCAGCGAGCGCCGGGAGGTGAGTGGTGGGGCAGGGCGGCGGTGGAGGAGGAGGCGAGTGGTGGCGGGGTACGGCGGCGGCGAGGCGGCTGACGCCATGCGCGACAACCAGCCCCAGCCCACGACGGCGCCCGCAACGAAGCGGAGGAACAGATGGGACCAATCGTGTCGCCTGTCGTCGTCGCTCGCGCCGCGTGCCGTCGCCATCTCCCCTCGAGCCCCGCCCGCGCCATGCGCTGTCGTCCGTCACCCGTCGCCGCCGTCGCCTCGAGCCCCGTCCGCGCGCCGCCTCGCCTCCTCCGCTGCCACGATCGCCTCCTCTGCTGCCGCGCTCGCCTCCTTCGCCGCACCCCACCGCCGCCGCCTCGCCTCCAGCAATGCGAGCTCCCGCTGCCGCTCGCCTCCTCCAATGCCCTGCCTCGCCGCCCTGCCCCGTCGCTCGCCTCCCCGCGCTCGCTGGCTCCGCCGCCGCGCTCGCCTCGCCGCCTCCGCCGCCGTGCTCGCCTCGCCGCTGCCGCTGCCTCCTTCGCCGCACCCCGCCGCCGCTCGCCTCCTCCGCCACCGCTACCCTGCCCCGCCGCCTCGCTTCCCCGTGCTCGCTGCCTCCTCCGCCGCGCTCGCTGCCTCCGCCGTCGCCGACCGCCCACACTGACCGCCCGTCCCCGCGCCGTCCTCGTCGTGCGCGCTGCGCGAGCCGCGAGAGAAAAGAGCGAGAGAGAGAATAGAGAGAGAGGAAGAAGAGTATGGCAGGCGGGTCCCACAATTTTTTATTACAAAAATGCTGACTGGATTGCCACATGTGCGCCACGTTGGACAAAACTACTCTGAATTGGTTCGAGGGGGGTAATTCGTCCGGTTTGCATAGTTGGGGGTGAAGAATATCCGGTTTTGTGGTTCAGGGGGATAATTTGGACGACCGCGATTGTTCGTGGGGTAATTCGTACTTTTTCCTTTTAAAATAAATATGTGTGGGACCCACGTGTCATCCTCTCGGGATGGCCCTCATTCCGGGCTGGATAATTCGGGATTGATTTGAGGCCCATGCAAACAAGAGTTTAAGGTTTGGTTAATTACAATGCATGGCAAGCGAGTCAGCGAGCGACGAAATTACGATGCATATGCTCTGCGATGCGAAATTAATTTCGCTACTTACATGTCATCTAAGTTCTCCTCGCTAGCATAGTCACTTCCGTGGCGAGCGGCGACGGCGAGGACGACGCGTCCGTCGTCGTCGGGTAACCCTCGGTTCGGTTGTTTTGGTTGTCATGGCGACCGGTTGGCGTCGAGCGCAGCCATCGCTTCACTGGAATGCAGCTATTCCTTCACCGTCGCTAGTCACATCATCCAAGAACCAAGAGCTCTCCGCCTTGGACGTACACGCCGGTGACTGTGAGCCTTCCCACGTCAAGCTCCAACCTGACCTTGATCCTAGGGTCGGACCGCAGCCACCCGGCCACCACCTCCGCCGCCCCCCTGCACCGCTGCCGCCACGGCGCCCAGCACCGCGCCTTCTTCTCCGCCTCGACGGCCTCCTCCATCTCCCCCACGAGGTCCTCCAGCTCGTTCGTCGCCCCGTCCAGCCTCAGCTTCCACTCCACGCGCGCCAGCCGCACCTTGGGGTCGTCGTCTTCGTCCACGACGTCCAGCGCCGTCGCCGCGCCCGCCGAGCGGAAGCGCGCGGAGTTGTGCCTCCACGATGTCCAGCGCTGTCGCCGCCGCCGTCGGGACGGAAGGGGCCGACAACCCTCGGCCTTCACACGCCGTCCCCGCTGCCGCGCCCACGCCGCTTCCACCGCTCCGGCGGCCTCTTCAGGGACTTGGGCCGTGCCGGGCCAGCACGGCAGCTAGCCCGGCACGGCCCACTCGTCGTGTCGTGCCGTGCTAGCACGGCCTCTTCAGGGACGCAGCCCAAGCACGGCCCAATGGCCCGATGGGCCTATTCGTGCCGGGCCGGCACAAGCACAGCCCAAAAGAAAGGGAGCAGGCCGGCTGCGCTGAGAAGAAACTCCGGCGGCGGCAGTGATGGCGATGGGCGCAGGTAGGCGGCAGTGGTGGCGTGCGGCTTCGTCGTCCCGTCGCGGCGACGCGGCAGTGACGGCCACGCGCACCCTGCTCCTCCTCGTCGGCTCGTCGCGGCGACGTGGCCGCGTCAGTCAGCGAACAATCTTGCCAACTGCTGGTGCTGGCTTGCTGGTTGCTGCTACCTGCCACCGATGAGGCGATGAAGAAGAGCTGCTACTTGCTGCTACCTGCTAGCGGCTAGCTGCATGCCTGCATGGGAAGTTTTGACCGTGGATGGGTGATGGGTGAAGTGGGTCACCCGCGAACCCACTTATAGGTCGAAATAAACAAGTTCGCGGGTTAGTTTAGTTTATAAGTGGGTTTTGTGGGTAGCCGCTTGCACCCTTAGCGATGGCTAATGACCTCATGCTGCACTGCTGTAGCAGCCTGTAATATGAAATAGAGGAGGGAAATTTTGGGATGGAAATCTGAAAAGAGGAGGGAATTTTTGGGAGTAGGGAAAACAATATGGTCACACTCTTCTTTTTTTTCGCCCAGATGGCTCTGCAATACTTTATTACCTCGTCTAAAAATATGTATTGTATTTTTGTTCTCACACCGAATGCAAATAACCTGAGATGTAAAAATTGAGGGAAAACAAATTTATTCAGAATAGGGATGCAAAGTTGTTGCTTCGTTAAAAACCTTACACCCTAGAGTAGGGTTCCCCGGTAAGAAAAATAGTATAACAACTTGCTTACATTATTACATAAATTACATTACTAATTTTGATTAGCACCGCCGCAATCAGTGGATATGCCAAATTCCGCCAACGCGTCTGCCGCTGCATCGGCAATCTCTGGATCCTCTAGCCGGTGTTGCGTCCTTGCATATGCTTCAATCAAGTCTTTAAGGCAAAAGATTGCCTCAACTATGTCAGGTGCAAGGCATGACCTCCATTCTTCGATAATTCTTCCAACCTCACTAATGCATGCTCTGAAGAGACACAGGAAGCCAGAACCAATAGAACGTCCCGTGCAAAGTGAGCTAGCACAGGAAGAGTCCTTTCTTTCTCTTTCCACCACTCAAACAGATCAACATTTTCACCATCTAGTGTTCGATCATGTTCTGTGCGATTGGTGTTGAGGTAATGGTTAAGCTCCGCATCTGGGTTCCAATTTGACCTGCTACCTGATGAGGAAGCTTGTTCCTTGCCCTTGATCTTCTTCCACAAATTCATTGCACTTGATTTGCTTTACTTTTTTTGTGGGGTTTCCTCAGGCACCCAACGAACAACACTTAGCTTAGTTTGGTACATACGGAAAACCCTGAACAACTCATCTCTAGCATGTTGATAAGCTTCAGAATAATCAAGACCCACTGCATCACCTATTGATATGAAAGCAGCCTCCACGACCTCCAACTTTTTACGAGGATCAAGTACCAAAGCAAAACAATAAAGGTGTGGAATAGTAGTGAAGTATTTGAGAAATTTTCCTTCATTGGTTGAACAGCAGAAGCTAAAACTCTATCATGTCGGTTTTCTTGAAATATAAGGGACGATTTCCAAAGACATTCAAGCACCAAACAAGAAGTAGGATAGTAAATCCTAGATAGTAGGACTATAGCTTTATAAAAAGGCTTTAGGAATATACATAGACATGTTGCTATGTCCCATTCTTCCTCAGTAAGAAGCAAAATCTCACAATCACCATCCTCATCGGTATCATTACTTCTAAAGTGCAATGAATTAATGAAAACAGAAATTATTTCCTCATACCCTTTCAATTGACGCAGCATGAGGTATGTTGTGTTCCACCGATGTTTCACATCAATGCCAAACATCCTCACAGGTTTATCCTTTGCTCGACAATAGTCCCGGAATCTCTCCTTCATCACTGACTGACCCTCGATGATAGAAACAGCTTGACGGATCTTGTTGTGTAAATTGGTAATAACAGTAAATCCTACATAGATAATAAATTCCTTGTCACATATGCATTAAAATTGATAAATTATTTGCACTAAAAAATGAATTTCAATAAATTCTCAACGACTAGTAATACCTGCTTGCACAATCAAGTTGATGATGTGGCAAATGCATCTTTGATGGATAACATAACCTCCAATGTAGCTTTGCAGATTTGGCTCCAAAATCGTCATGCCCATTGTATTTGCTGATGCATTGTCAAGAGTAATAGAAACCACCCTAGATTGTAAATTGAATTCTTGTAGTATATCTAGTAGTGTGGCAGCAATGGCTCGTCTAGTATGTGACGACATCATTTAAAACCCTATAACCCTCTTATTTAGTGTGCGATTATTGTCAAGATAATGCACAACAACACTAACAGAAGAGGTTCTTTGGTGCTTGGATGTCTAAATGTCAGATGTCACAACAAAAGAAAAGCTAACAATACTGAACAAGCGTTTCAACTCATCCAACCTAGAACGATATAATGAAACAATAAAGTTCTTGGTGGTTTTCCTTGAAACCTGGGTGTACTGTGGACAAAAAGCATTTCGGATCATCCTCTCAAAATTTTTCCTTTCGCCCATCCTAATCGGTAGGTCCTCCGAAACTATGTAACGAGCAATTTCATCTCGAGCTAGTTGTGGCTCATAAGTCCATGTACTTACAGAACCGTCGGGTCCGAAGCTCAGCTGTGTTTGCCTTGCTCCTGCCGGTGCTTTATCCTTGAGGTGCGTCAAATAATACCGTTTGAGATGTCCTGTTCCTGAACTAGAAGATGCAGACAAAGTTTTTCCACAATGTTGTAGTCCACCATTACCCTGATTTTTTCGAAGTGCCGCCAACACTCCGCTCTCTCTGTAGATGGTGCGGATGGCTCGGCCTCGCTTCCCGGCATGGGCAAGACTGTGTCATCGTTGGCCTTAGGGATGGGCTGTTCCGTAGGATCATCCCCATCTCCCTCCAAACCATCCATATGGCGGTCATCCATCCTGTAGTCGTCCATACCCGGGGATAGTTGGTGGGCATCGACCGACCTATGGTCAAGACTAGGCGAGCATTGGCGGCGTCTTTGCGGGGGTCTCGACGAGGTCGACCTCCGACGAGTATCACCCCACATTTTTGCTGTGGGAGGGAAATAACTATGTTGCTCTGTTTATTTTGTGCTGCATTTTTTTGTGTTGGGAAGAAGAGGAGGAGGAGGAATTTATAGAACAAATTGCCCTCATGAGCTAGTTATTTCTCGTTGCACTTACACACACATGACACACCACACAATACACGTGCTGCCTGCAGGCTCCACGGAGGCACATCCAATCACCATTAGCCATGCCCATATTCTCTGTTGCCAGGCGTCCCATCTCCATCTCAATCCAAGGCAGGCGCCTTTTCTCCGCGGCTGCACGTGCACATCTGCACAAGTTAAAACAGCAACATGCAAACATGTATTATCAGCTACAGCGTGCATGTGACCACATACAAAATATGAAATTGGGGCCATAATAGCAAACGCTTACGGCGAATGGCGATGGCATGCCACATGCGGGCAGGCAAAGGCAGGGCGCAGGAGCAGCAGAGCAAGGCTGCAAGGGAATCACAGGCACACACGCATCTACTACCTAGTCCCTAATACTAGGTCGAGCGTTTGTCCAGTGGTAGATGGCAGGATGTGTCCGTTTGGCCGTCCGCCGTCCCCATCCCCAGTACTCGATTGCGTCCATTCGGCCGGGCGGCGTCACTTGACTGCGTCTGCGCGGCGCCACGGCTGTGTCTCTTCGGCCGGCCGCCTCCATTCATTGCGCCAATGCGGAAGGGAATCGCCGGACACCATCGCATCCTTGCAGGAGATCCTCTGAGGTACGAGGAGAGAGCTATAAATCAGACGTCCGATGTAAAAAAAAATCGGACGGTCAAATGTTTCAGTTGACCGTTGGTGCAACATTAAATTATACGTGGTGAAACAGAAAAATGAGCCTATGAAACATATTGAAATTTTGTGAAACACAATAAGAACACATGGTGAAAGATATAACTATCACGTATGAAGCATTAAGCTTTTATTGTCAAAACATATATTTTTCTTTCATCAGAATATAATCATGTGATATCTTGTTGTAAAGATTTAATTATAATGAATTCAACGGTGTGATCGAATCGTTCATCGGATAAGTAGTTTAGAAGGAAAAATATTTTAATATCACTAAATACTTGCATCATGATTCATGCATGGTGTGGGAGAAAGCCAATAGATGGCGAGAGAGAGAGAGTAGGGACATGAGTTATATATTGGTGAAACAAAAAATCAATTGTTGAAACATTGAGTTATATATAGTGAAAAAAAATCAGTTGTTGAAATATTTAAATTTTTTTTATGAAACATAACAAAAACACACGTTGAAACATATTGCTACCGCATCTGAAACATTAAATTTAACGGATTGAAACATATGTTTTTTTTTCATCGGAATGTAATGATGTGATACCTTGTTATAAAGATTTAATTATAACAAATATAATGGTGTGATCATATCGTAGATTGGATAAGTAGTTCATGAGAAAAATTATTTTGAAGACCATTACAACATGTATGTATTTGTGGAGTGAATAGGGAGGTAGTAGTTTATCCGTCCGGTTTTTATTGGTTGCGTCGAACATATGATCCTAAGCATTTTCGGAGGTCTGAGCGTCTTGCTGCCGGGGTCCGGAGCTGTAGTGCCACTCAGATTTTCTGCTGATGGCCCGATGCGCATGCGCCCTAGCAGGCTAGCAGCCATTCCTGATGGGCCAATATCGTGCCATGGGCCATCGGGCCATCATCGTGCCTACGGGCCATTCGCGTGCCGTGCCAGCCCAAGTACGGCCTAGCCCATTTACGGGCCGTGTCAGACCGTGCTTTCTAGCATGTCGGGCCGTCGTGCCTTAGGCCGGCCTGATAAAGCACAACCCAAGTCCCAGCTCCCCTCGCCTGCACGCCGCCGTCGCCGAGGCCCGGAGCGGTGGCGTCGAATGGGAGGAGCGGGTGGCGGCGGAGCTCCTCGGCAAGGAGGTGTCGGTGGAGGTAGGGATGGCAATGGGTCGGGTCGGGCACGGGTAGAGCAAAACCATGCCCGACCTGATGCCTAATATTGCCTGTCCAAACCCTACCCACTAGAGTTAGCGTGCAAAACTCCGTGCCCGTACCCATGCCCGGTGGGCGCGGGTATGTCCGGCGGGTACCCAATGGATCTCATATAAATAATAACTTAAAATATATATAATTTAAGAAAGAAAAATAAAATCAATAATTTACGAAATTATTGGTTACCAACAATAATTTGAATTACATCACAACTTAGTATCAGTTAGCATTACAAATGAACCAATAGAAAGGGTATAAGAATTAAGAAATGAGTCAAAATTAGCTAATACATATGTATCGGGTCGGGCATGGGTTACCCATGGGTAAAAAATGAAACCCGCCTGTTGCCCATGACGTCTTCGGGTATCGGGTGGGCGTACCCATGGGTAAAAAGTCACACTCACACCCATGCCCATCGGGTCGGGTATCTGTGGATACCTGGACCCATGGGTAAAATTGTCATCCCTAGGTGGAGGAGGCGGATAACCTCTTTGAATTTGCTCGATGCGGGATGCGGCGAGGCCCAAGAAGAGCGTAGCGGAGGAGAAGTCGAAGGGGGAGAGGACCGGGTAAGAGGCGAAGGTGTTGAGTAGGGAGGAGGGATCGAGGGCAGAGAGGAGGTGGTCGGGGATGGCAACGATAGGTCAGGGACGACGGAGTGGAGGAGGAGGTGTTGGCGATGAGGTCCATGGAGGTCGGCGAGAGGAGTAGCCCGTCGTTGGCACGGCCATGGCCCGCGCAGTGGTTGGCACATGTCATGTGGACCTACATGGCGGTGGATCCCACAATTTTTTTTGTGTGAATGACAAATAGGACCCATATATTTTTTTAATTCTAATGCTACATAAGTGACACGTCAACACCACGTTGTATAAAGACCAGTTCAACACCGTCACGTAGGCGCCACATCAGCGAAATCGCTCTGCAAAACCGTCAAGAGAGCTAAATTGCACCGGTTTTAATAGTTAGAGGGTTATGATATCCGGTGTTGTAGTTCAGGGATATGAATTAGACTCATCCACTAGTTAAGGGAGTCAAATTGGACTTAATCCAAAAGAGAACGGCCCATGAAACACCAAACGGAAACAGCACGCTCGGATCTCTTTCCCTTCCCTTCCCCCGCCACGCGGCCACGCCAACCCAACCAATAAGCTGTCTCCCGTGGCACATCTCCCCAATCGCATCACGCCACGTCACCCCTCTGACGCGCGCGACCCCTTCTCCTTCTCCCCAGTTGCGCCCCCGCTTCTATAACACGCGCCTCCGCCTTCCTCCCCGCGGCACCGATCTCCCTCCCCCCTCGCCGGCGGCGCACCGACCGAACCGAACCGCGCCATGGTCACCGCGCGCAAGGGCCGCGGAGGCAGAGGCCCTCCCCGCCCCCGCGTCGTCGACGGCGGCGGAGGGAGCATGGTGTCGCGCGTGGCCGTGCTCGCATTCTGCGTCGCCGGGATCTGGTCGGCGTACATCACCCAGGGCGTCCTCCAGGAAACCCTGTAAGCGCCCGCCTCCCTCCCTCCCTCCCTCTCTCTCTCTCTCTCTCTAATGGTGCTCGGGAGCGGAGGGGAATTGGGCTCTGCTTCGGCGAGTTTCTGAAAATTGTTCGCCGTTTTCTCTCCCCGCCGTTCGTTCAGGTCGACGAAGCGGTTCGGGCCGGAGGCGCGGCGGTTCGACCACCTCGCGTTCCTCAACTTCGCGCAGAACGTCGTCTGCTTCGTCTGGTCCTTCATAAGTGAGCCTCCTCTCCTCCCTCTCTCATCCCCTGCCCCTGTCGTGTGGAATCCAGTGCGGTCGCATCGCATGCCATTGCGCAGAATGCGGATCGTGTGAGGAGTTTGTGACACTGGTTTTGCTCGCGCAGTGATCAAGCTGTGGTCGAGTGGTGGGAGCTCCTCCGCTGGCCGCGCGCCGCTGCGGAAGTACTGGGGCGTCAGCATCACCAACACTGTCGGCCCGGCCATGGGGATCGAGGCGCTCAAGTTCATCAGCTACCCAGCTCAGGTTTGGTTGCAGCTGCCCTTTTGTCGTCTCGCTTCGCTTGCTTTGTTGCTCTATGCATTTTTGTGCAGCTATTGTATCTGTAATTAGATGTTTCCATTTTCGTTATGGGTGATAGGCAACGCAGTAGTATAATGCCTGCGAAGTGGAATGTTCTATTTTTGGATTGTTCAACTGTGCTAAGTAAATCAGTGGTTGGAATGTTCTATAGCCTTATTTTTGCCTTGATTGATGCGATAGATACGGTCATTTGGAGAATTTATGATGTGTGAGTGATTATTGGAGAAGAAAATTAAGTTTGGTTGAGTGAAATTACGAATTCAGACTCTCTGGTTCTGATATACTTGGAGTTTTGAATTTGGTTCGGTCTGACCAAGTCAGACGGCTTATGGGCTGATTCAGAAATATCTGAACATATAAACAATGTTTAGATCATTTGTTTATTAGCAATTTTTATACGTAGAAAACATTTATGCCATGAGTATTATGCACAAATGCCAAAATATGATTATCCATGATACTCTTATCGCTGTATCGCATGGATGGGTGAAGACAGAACCATATTTCCTCATCAAACTTTTTGATTGAACTTTGAACCATCCAATGTACAGTTATACATCAAAATGTGTTTGGCTCAAGCGCAATGTAATTTGATTTATCTTTTGAACTTATTGGAACAGTCGCAACAAGCCTGTGTTTTCTGAATATCATTTTTGTGTCTCATTTTTGTGCCGTAATAATATATGCTGATTTGATTAAATAGCACATTACCGCTAAGGAATTATTTGCTCTATGTTAACAGGTCCTGGCAAAATCTTCTAAGATGATTCCAGGTGAGTTGCATTGATCTATGCATGCTATGTAATGTACCTTACAGAACATTATCTACATCTGAATAGTTCTTCTGATCATTAATTTGAGCTTGGGTGGGTATACTCATCTGAGCAGTTTCTGTGTAAAAAAAAAAGTACACTGGAAAATTGGATTTTGGTTTGGCACCACAATATTGGCTGCTTTAGCTGTTAGTACGACAATACTTGCATTTTTTTTGTCAAAACCATATCAATTTCATGACAAGAGCATTTCCATTAGTGCTGATATTTGGTGGTCAGAGTGGTGTAGGTAATAGAGCAATCAGTGTTAAGAATAACTTTTAACAGTAGCCCTTTCATGTTTCATAGTCTGTATAGTGATGTGCGCATATCTCTGACCAATGATTTAATATGTACAGTAATGCTGATGGGAACTATACTGTATGGTGTCAAGTACACATTTCCGGAGTACATTTGCACCTTTCTTGTTGCTGGGGGTGTATCATCCTTTGCGTTGTTGAAGGTAAAGATTTAATCTATTTCAATTATTCACCAATATCCCACGAGCCTAAAGCAAAAGCAGAAACATTTTGGCACTGTTTCACTCCGTAGTATGAAAGTAGAAAAGAATATGTTTTGTTCCTTACAGTCATTTGTATTATGATGAATACAAATTAGAAGAGAAAACAGCCACATCAAAGTCACTATAACTAGGAATCTGCACCTCTAATGTTATTAGAAGCTGTAGATGGCCTAATAAAATTTTATGTGTGATGTGCTGATGTTAACTGTGTTTTCATTTCTGAGTATTATGTTTGTTTCCTATGTATCAGACAAGCTCCAAGACTATCAAGAAGCTTGCTAACCCTAATGCGCCTCTGGGCTACACATTGTGCTTCCTCAACTTAGCTTTTGATGGTTACACCAATTCGACCCAAGATTTGATAAAGTCTAGGTAACTACACCCTGTCCATTCCATATTAAAGCATTCTGGAAATTTTATCATCTTCTTATCTACATGGAAAGTAATGTCGTGTTATTGCAGGTATCCAAAGACTAATCCATGGGATATAATGCTTGGCATGAATCTCTGGGGGACCATATACAATGCTGTGATTATGTTTGTTGCTCCATTACTATTCAGTAATTGGCCTTACGCCAACGGTTTTGAGGCAGTGAGATTTTGCCAGGAGAACCCAGAGGTGGCATGGGACATTCTCCTGTTCTGCCTGTGTGGTGCCGTGGGTCAGAATTTCATCTTCCTAACCATCAGCCGATTTGGCTCTCTTACTAACACTACCATCACCACCACCCGCAAGTTCATGAGCATTGTCATCTCCTCCGTCATCAGTGGTAACCCACTCTCCTTGAAGCAATGGGGAAGTGTTGTGATGGTCTTTTCTGGTCTCTCTTTACAAATCTTTCTCAAATGGAAGAGAAAGAAGGTCAGAGACCACAAGGAATGAGTTTAATATTTTAGCTCATTCCAATTTGTAGCTTCGATTGGACATGTTTGTTGTTGGGTTATATGGGAGATAATTATTGCAGCCCATTACTGATTCAGGAGAAGTTTTACATCGATAAAAAACTGAGATGTATGGTAATAGCTAAAAAAATGCTGGTAGTTTCTGTTCTACAGGAAGTCAGGAAGAAGATGCAATGAATTGTATTGCACTGAGTAGTAGAATTGTATGGCGCCCTGTATTTTTGTTCTCTCCCTAAAGGAATCGCTAATTATCAAAACGATAATTATGTTTCTGCCACTGATAGTCTGATACTTCATACAGTCACACTACGATAACTTGTGGAGAAAACTACTGTACGGATTTGGCTGTTTAAGCAGAAGTATCAGGTTTTGCTCTGGAGGATAGCTGCCTTCCTAGCAGGTCGCTTTATGCGCGCCATGCTTTGAGGTTATGTTTGTCTGTTTTTATTTATGTATTATCTATTAAATTATTAAGATAGTTAAAAATGTGCCACCACGGCGACCACGCCCGTTCTAAAAACTTGGGAATTACTGCATTAATAATAAAAGAAAAATGAAATTTTTGTATTGTTATATCGTGGTAGGTCTAGTTTATACGTATGTTGTAAAAAAACCAATTTTATTTTTAAAATCTATTGTATATTACAACTCTATCTATTGAGATAGAGGATGACGGTTATATATGGAATCCAATTTGGATTTTAAAATCTATTGCAAAACAAAAGCTAACAGTGATATATCAAATCCAATTTTACATCTAGGGCTCTGTTTAGTTTCAAAGTTTTTCTTCAAACTTCTAACTTTTCCATCACATCAAAACTTTCCTACACACAAACTTCTAACTTTTCCGTCACATCGTTACAATTTCAACCAAATTTTAAATTTTGACGTGAAATAAACACAACTCTATGTAAGATTACGTAGGAAAATCCACTGGATATACACAATAATCCTTATGTTACAATGTGAGTTCAACTTAGAGAGGACTACAATTTTGATGGGGAAACAAATCTACACTACATTGTGATTGCCGATTGCTCTGTATTAGTAACTACTCTCTCCGTTTCACAATGTAAGTCATTCTAGTATTTCCCATATCCATATTCTAGTATGATTCATTAACATCATTATGAATGTATAAAATGTTAGAATAACTTACACTGTGAAACGGATGAAGTATTAAGAGTATGACCTCCACTTCTTAATAGCTAGCCGGCCAAAACTGCTCCATTTCTTATTAGCTAGCCGGCCAAAAAAATATTTGTATCTCTAAGATTTTACTTCTGTGGTAGTATTAGTTTTGTAGTTGCTGTCGACTAGTAATCCAAAGAGGATTCAGTTCGAAGTTCAAATACGCTACATGATTACATGAAGGCTCCACTACTCCGCATGGTTGCTTTCTTCGTAGTGAAGTACTCTCTCCGTACCATAAAAAAACCAACCTAATAATATAAATACACAACTTAGTACTATGAATCTAGACACCTCTGTTTAGATTCATTGTACTATAACATATCACATCTAGTTCTAGATTTGAGGGAGTACTCACTCCATCCCATAAAAAACCAACCTAGTACCGGATATAACACATTCTAATACTATAAATCTGGATATACATCTACCTAGATTCATCGTACTAGAATATATTATATCCGGTACTAGATTTGTTTTTTATGTAATGAGTACTCCACAAGGAGTACGACATTGTGCTTACTGAGCAGTGGATGTCGGCCATCATGGTTGGAGAACTGATGATAAAGGACGAATTGGCCCAAAAATCTGACAGCCCAGCAGTGCTTAACGGCGACTAGGCAACGGATTAAAAAAACCCTCAAAAGCATATTGTGACTGATCAAAACTCAAAAGAACTGAATTAACAAAACACACCAGGAATGAGGATCTTTTTTTAAACTCAATTCACCTAACCCAGGTATTGTGGTCTAAATTGCAGTAAAATCACAGGGGTTTCGAGACATGACATATAACCTCAGGGGTTTCGAGACATGACATATAACCTCAGATATTATTACTATAAAATTTCACGAAACCACACTAGTGATCTTTTTGAATTTGATCTATCAAACTCTTAAGTTCTACAATCACGTCTCAAATTTGTAAGTTGTTTATCCATAATATAAATGTTATATCAATGTAAGTAAAACTTTTTAATTTTCTTTGAGAGTGTGCCACAATTTGGTTAATGGCATGGTTTCCTGAAACTTTACGAACATAACACTTAGGGTTATATGTCACGTGCCAAAATAACTTTATTCCATGAAATTTGGACCATAATAGATGGAGTTTTATGAAATTTACTCTCTTTTTATAAAAAAAAATTCACTGGGGGTGGGGGGGGGGGGGGGGAGAAGTTCCCCACCTGAATTCATTAAGAGTGGGCAAAGGTCCAGTTTAGAGAACTACAAATTCAGGGCATTACACTTTCAGAGAGCAGAGGGAGGAAGAAAAAAGAGTAAAGTGTATTGGTGGTTCTTAAATTTGTTGGGTTGTGTCATATAGGTCCCTAAACTCTCAAAACACATATCCAAGTCCCAGAACCTGTCAAAGTGTATCATATAGGTCCCAAATCAACACATCCCCTCTAGGATCCTATGTGGCGCTGATATGACATGCCACATGGACGTGACGTGTCATTTTCTTTTTTTTTCTTATTTTCTTTTTCTTCGTTTTCTTCTCATTCTTCGTTTTTTCCTTTCTTCTGCTCGAGTCACAGAGAAAGGAGAAGAAAGGGAAAAAATAGAAGAAAAAAGAAAAAGGAAAAATTTTAAATGGGACCCATTTTTCAGTCAAAATGATGCCACGTCATTCCGTGTGGCATGCCACATCAACGCCACGTAGGATCCTGAAGGGGTTGTGGCGATTTGGGATCTAGATGACACACTATAAAAAATTCTGGGACTTGGATATGCATTTTAAGAGTTTAGAACCTATATGACACACCGCTACAAGTTTAAGGACCACCCGTGCACTTTACTCAAGAAAAAAGGTCTTCCAGGACGAAATTACATGCCGATCCTCTAATTTGAGTCTTTCGCTCCAGAGGGACGCATCTTCAATACACAGCACTAATAATCGACGCAAAGAGGGGCTTCGTGCCTGAAGACAACCCAGTGGTGGTGATTCCACGGGTTCCAAAAGCATTGCAAGTAGAATACCCAAAAAGTGCTTGGAGGGAACTCGAATCGGTGTGGGAAGAGAAGCAAGCTCAGCTAACGTCGCGTCATTAACCTGCATATTCAGCGTGCCCCAGAAGGCCACAGCAAAGGGGCACTGGAAGCAGAGGTGAAGAGCTGTTTCATCGGCAGAATTGCAAAGATCACAGGTTGGGGTCGGCACTATGGTTTTCCTGTGCAAGTTGCGTTTTGTTGGGAGGCGATCCTTAGCCAAAAGCCAGGCAAAAAAGAAAGGGTTCAAAGGAGCTTCGGATTTATCATCAGCAAGAGCAATTAATATTCAGCCATTTCCATTTCCAAACCATATAAATTGAGGTAGCCCTTGCTAGTATCAGTTGCTTTGCAAAGCTGCTCTGATCAGAAATCCCAATGGCAATGGAGAAGAGCCCTCCTCCGGCGCCGCACTTCCTCTTCGTGGTGAGCGGGATACAGGGCCACATCAACCCGGCGCGCCGCCTCGCCGCGCGCCTGATGGCGTCGGCGCCGGCCGCGCGCGTCACCTTCTCCACCGCCGTCTCCGCGCACCGCCTCATGTTCCCGTCCCTGCCGTCCCCGGCCGGCGAGGACGTCGACGACACCGGCGTCGCGTACGTCCCGCACTCCGACGGCTACGACGACGGGTACAAGCCCGGGGTGCACGCGAGGGACGACTACATGGCGCGCACCCGCGCCGCGGGCACCGAGTCGCTCTCCGCCATCGTCGCGGCTCTCGCGGCGAGGGGGCGCCCGGTGACGTGCATCGTGTACACGTTCCTCGTGGTTTGGGCCCCCGCCGTGGCGCGCGCGCTGGGGATCCCCTCGGCGATCTACTGGATCCAGCCGGCGGCGGCGTTCGCCGTGTACTACCACTACTTCCATGGCCATGGCGAGGCCCTCGCCTCCTGCGCGAACGACCCTGCCCGCGGCGCCGTCGTGCGCCTCCCCGGGATGCCGTTCCTCAGGTCCGACGAGCTCCCCTCCGCCGTGTCCATCGTCTCGCCGGAGCACAAGCACTACCTGCTGCTCGCCATGCTGCGCGACCTGTTCGAGGATCTCGACGAGCTCAAGCCCAGGGTGCTGGTGAACACGTTCGACGCGCTGGAGCCCGACGCGCTCCGCGCCGTGCCCGATCTGGAGGTCGTCGCCGTCGGGCCGGTGGTGCCCGACGGCGAAGCGTCTCTGTCGAGCTCGAGCACGGACATGTTCCGGCGAGACGACGCGAGCGCGTGCGTGGATTGGCTGGACACGAAGCCGGCGCGCTCCGTGGTGTACGTCTCGTTCGGGACCCTCCTGTCGATGAGCAAGCGGCAGGAGGAGGAGATGAGGCGCGGCCTTGAGGCCACCGGCCGGCCGTACCTGTGGGTGGCGCGCCAGGGCGCCGTCGATGGCGGCGCGACCTTGGACAGCGCACCCACCCCCGCCGCCGATGCCGGCGGCGGCGGCGGCGAAGGGGACGCGCAAGGGATGGTGGTGGAGTGGTGCGACCAGATGAAGGTGCTCTCGCACCCGGCTGTGGGCTGCTTCGTGACGCACTGCGGGTGGAACTCGGCGCTGGAGAGCATCACCCGCGGCGTGCCGATGGTGGCCGTGCCGCAGTGGACGGACCAGCCGACGGTGGCGTGGCTGGTCGAGGCGCGCATGGGCGCCGGCGTGCGCGCGCGGCTGGACGGCGAGGGCGTGGTCGAGCGCGGCGAGCTGCAGCGGTGCGTGGAGCTCGCCATGGCGGGCGGCGGAGACGGCGGTGTCCGGGCACGGGCGGAGCGATGGAGGGAGCGCGCCGCGGAGGCGGTCGCGGCCGGCGGGTCGTCGGAGAGGAATCTCCGGGCGTTCGCGTCCGGGGCCGTGACGCAGGCGGTGTGCTCGAGCAGGTGATTCCGCCGGCGGCCGCCGGCGATGGCGAACTCAACGGCTGGATTATTGTTGTTTTTTTATATTCCCAGATAATAGCTTTGTCATTTGGTGTGGCGTTGACGCAATCAGTATGTTGATTAGTCGACGTAACAGCAAATTTAATTGGAGATCTCATTAAATTTTAGATGTTGCCATATCATCTACAAACAGTTCAATAAAGGGAGCAAAATTTCCCTCTTCGATCTATCCATGTGGCCATGTGCAACCTCCAGATTACGAGGCCTTCACAGTGCAAGCACCCACCAGGATGACACATAGGATAAAAAGCTACAAGGAAACTTTCTCTACAGGGCAAGCACCGGTGTGGGACCCACAGATACTACTTCACCGAATCCCCCACCTCCCTCAGTCACCACGCCCCTCACCCTCTTCCAACTCCACCGGCTGTCCCCTCCTCTCCTCGACGACACTGCATTTCCCCTCTCCCCGCCGGCGGCTTCTCCTTTCTCCCCGCCGGTGGCCTCTCCTCTCCCCTCTCCCCGCCGGCGGCTTCTCCCTTCTCCCCGCCGGTGGCCTCTCCTCTCCCCTCTCCTCACGGCGGCGGCAGCGAAGTAGGCTGGGGACGCGGCGAAGGAGGTTGGGGACGCGGCGGTGGATCCAGAAGGCTGAGACGATGGTGCTTGCGGCCAGCGGTTCCTCCCACGCCGTCGCACCTCCTCGCCTCCCATGCTGCGGCGGCACGTCGGGGATGCCGCCGTCGTGCGCCTCGCCTCGCCGTCGACCGCGCCGCCCGATTTGTTGCCGCTTTTGTTGCCGCGATTTGTGTAGATTAGTTGCCGGCGCAAGGGCACGGGAGGCGCGAGGGCACGAGCTCCACAGTGCGGAAAAGCAGCCGCTACCGGGCCTCGCGAGAGAAGGTACCGCGTGCCTCAGTTTGGGTGCGAGGTGCTCACCATGGGCGCACGCCCTAGCTCCACGCAAGCCCAATTCCTACGTGGCTGCCCATAGCACCGGTCCAGCATGGAGCACTGTGAGAGGCCTTTAAGCCGCCAATTTGAATATTCCTTTCATCCCTTGTCTCAAATCTGAGGGCAGTACCAGTGCAAGCAACGCATAACGTGGCTTTAGCTCATCCGTACAGTGAAATCAGTCCAAAGTCATCTGTACAGCAACGCATAAGCCATGCAGTCCACAACGCTCGTGATCTCTTTTTGATGGCTAGAATATCTGCCGCACGCGAGGCGAAGGAAACATATGCGGGGGCACGCTCTCAGTAACGCGGACGCGTGAGACGTCTCCTGCGCCGCGCGTCCTTGCCTGCAGGCGAAGGAACTCGCTTCCCAACTAAGGCCCGAGCATCTGAGCAGAGGCACGCGTTTTGTCAACGTGTAGATGATTATCCGAGCTGGAAATCTGAAGGAACTGGCCACGTCCTCCCACTGTGAAGGGCCTGACATTGTTTTATTGTCACAAGTGAGTATCGCTCGAAAGCCACTGTGCAGATGGATTTTGATAAAATATCACTTTTTAACGTGTGGCTAGACGTTATAATACTACTCCATTTAGAACTGTATGGTGACGACGAACTCATCCTCGTGGCCTGCCACGGTGACGGTTGCGGGCCTTTCGTCGTCGCATCCCACGTATATATATCACGGGTGCCTGCTCCATCCTCCTGTTGCGGGCGCCCACGCGGTCGCTGCCTGTCCCCACGCGGTCATGGCGCAACACGGCTCCCACCTCCTCACCGACAGCTAGTCCAGCCACGTCTACACCATCGCGCTCCTGTCCCGTGGCGACATCTCACTTCTTGTTATAAAATCAGCCCCGAAATCGACATTGGTAGCTAAACGCGGAAGAAAATACTATAGGAGATTCAAAACGATGACGACACCGAGACACGATATTTGGTAACGGAGTTCAGCCGTAGCCTACATCTCCGGAGCACTGATTACGGGCGCTCCTCCCCGATCCAGCATATACAGCGTATCATAGTTACAATGACTCACGGCCGGTCGATGCCGGCAGCCGCTCCCTCTCGCTATACTAAGTCTCCATGCGGTTACAATAGGCACGCCCCTCTATTTATGAGGGATCCTAGGATAGAGTCCGACTCATACTCTAGTCCTAATATCTTTTACAACTCCAAGTCCTAAACTTTAACCGACTACGTACACATATTCGACGCAAACTCTAACAAACTCTACCTTGGCGAATATGCCACACCAACTTGAATCTGTTACTTGCTCGAACCTCCGTGTACCAGGACTTGAGTTGGTTCTGCCGCAGCTCACACCGAGCCGCTCGACTAGCCTACGCCAGGCTTGCCGCCTTCAGGATCGTGCACAACAACACCAGCATACCCATCTTCCATGACTCCACCTGCAACAGCACTCCCTTGTAACTTGTACAAACATGAACTTGTCCTCTCACCAGTCATAACAGTCTTGCCGTCCTTCATGATATTCATGGTCTTCCTATTAGAATCCACCTGATACAACCAACCCGTCTCATGTAGGCTCCCAAGCGAAATCAAACTCTTCCTTAGTCCCGGCACGTGTCTCACATTTGAAAGTAGCACCTCGTTTCCATCATACATCTTGAACTTGACATCGCCCACTCCAACAACACGATAACTCGTGTCATCGCCTAAGTAAACAACACCAAAATCACCAGATTTGTATGAAGAGAACCACTCCCGCTTCGATGTCACATGATAGGAACTAGCTAAGTCCAACATCCACGCTTCTCCAGACTTCTCGTTAGACACTGTGAGAATCTCATGACTGCTGCTATCTGAATCATCACCACGAGCTGCTAAACTTGCAATGCCACCTTTCCTCTTCTTCAGTAACAGGCAATTCCTCCTTATATGTCCAAACTCATGACACTTATAGCACCGTGCCCTCTTCTCCTTGCTCTTTGACACCCCCGCTTCATGATCATGCTTTGCCCTGACCAGCAAACTCTCAGCCTGAGAAGCCTCCATTGCCTCGTTTTTCTTTGATCTTCTCAAGTCTCGTGCAAGCAACGACGAAATTATCTCATCAGTTTTGACAGTATCCTTGCCGTGCGTCAGGGTAGTCACCACATGTTCATAAGACGGTGGAAGCGAGCACAGAAGAATTATGGCCTTGTCTTCATCATCCAGTTTCACATCTAACTTACTTAGATCCACAACCAACTGATTGAAGACGTCCACGTGCTTCCTAAGATCTGACTCCTCTTGCATCTGTAAACCATATAGCTGTTGTTTGAGATACAACTTACTCATCAGCGACTTGGACATATACAGGCTTGCCAACTTGTCCCAAATTTCCTTCAGTGATTTTTCATCCATGACCTGATACATGACAGAATCCGAGAGACTCAAGCGTATTGTTGCAGCTGCCTGCGCCTTCATCTCCTCCCACTTGCCAGCATCCATCTTTTCCGGCATCGTCTCCTCAAGAGCCTTGGATATCCCCTGTTGAGCCAACAGATCCTTCAGCCTCATCTGCCAGAGAACGAAATTCCCGGTGCCATCGAACTTCACCACCTCAAATTTGGAAACCACCGTCGCCGCCATCAACGATAATCAACTCAACAGCTGTTGCCCTGTTAAATTGATCTGCCCTGATTAATTGATCCCACCGACTAACTCGAATAGTACCAGCTGGACCGAACCAGTTTTTTTTCTCTCTCCAAAAAACCGGACCGGTTTCTTTTACTTGGTCAACCACCAGTCAAAGAAAAACAGATCGACCCTGTTCCCCTTCTTCCTTTGGCTTCCTCGCTCCTCCTAGAAACCGTGCCCACGCCACTTTTTCCCGATGCGCCGCCGCCTCCTGCTCCTCACGCCGTCGGCCCTGCAAGAAGCACTGCGCCGCCCGCCTCAGAAACCGCCTGGGGCGCCGCCGCCTCCCGCCGCCGTCACTTGCGCCGACCCTGCGAGGAGCCGCCGCGTCGCCTGCCTTGGGAAGCCGCCGGCCTACCACCTAGGAGCGCCCGCCACCGAAGTCCGGCGCCGGTTCCTCGCCGGGAACCGCCGCCGCCGCCGCCGCAAGCTCCTGCCCGAGCTGCGACGAACGCCGCCGAGTACCACGCCGCCGTGCGCCGCCTGCAATGATGCGTCTCCAGCCGCCCGTGACCTCGCCGCCCAAACCACCTTTGCCTCTGCGAAAATCGGGTACGAATCTCGCCCTCTGCTAGATGATTTGTTTCGACTGCGTTGTTACAATCCCGTGGTCCCTTTGCTGCTTTTATTGGGGAAAAACGTGTCCGATTTCCAGTCTAAATCGAATCCGTATCCAACTCCCTCCTGTGTCGAACGCGGTATCCATCCAGCTTGTCTTCGGTCGTGTCCATGCCGTGACCGACACATAGATAACTCCATGGCCGAGTCTTCCTCTACATCACGAATCCGACAACCACCGAACCTTGCACGTCCTGGCTCAGCCCGCTCCTTCTCGGCATCACCCTGATCTCCGCCGCCAGCTCGGCTTCGACGCAAAACGCGCACACCGCCGCGACCCTGACCTCCTGGGCTTCTTCGTATCTCCAGCGGAACCTAGCACCACTGCCAAACACCACTTGCCGACTACACCAATGACTAGTGCCACTGATCTGTTGTCATCGTGATTTTCTTGATCTGTGCTAGAAACAGTAGAACCAGACCTCTCTAGGGTTGGAACTAGCACATATGCTAGTCTAGACGCCCTACGCTTAGTTCTGCCATCCACCGCTAATACGCCGCTTTTGAAGCAATTCCAGTGTGGAAATACCTGTCAACACCTCCAAAACAGCCTATAGGATCCACCCGCTCCGACATCCGATTGAACGCCATCAATCTAGTCGCGAGCCGAAGCCGACAAGTCGCATGCCGTCTTCCCAGCCGCCGAACGACCCGAGCGCTACGTCTAGCCATCTCCCTGTCGAACGCAACTCTTCGAAAGGCCCGGGCCACCCCGCCCAGAGTGTTCGAATCCACCGATCGAGAACGCCGATCGCCTCCAGCTTCAATCAACCCGAGCGTGCGGCCGCACGTCTCCCTGTCGAGAGTAGCTCACCGGAAAGTCCGAGCCACCCGCCCGAAGTGTCCGACCCATCGATTGGATCGCCAATCGCTTCTGCCGCCATCAACCCGAGCACCACGTCTAGTCATCTCCTTGTTGAAGGCAGCCATCGACGGTTCCGGCCGCCGCCAGAAGTGTTCGATCCACCGATCAAGACTCCGTTGATCGCCGCCGTGCTCCACCTTGCGCCAA